CACTTTCGGTGCCCAACGCTGCTTCTGGATCCTTATATAGAACAAAGCTAGTACTATTTTTCTCGCGCATCTTGGCCCCGAACCCCTGGTTCGTGCTGAGACGAAGGAGCGCAATAGGTTGCGGTTCCAGTGATGCGTGTGTTCGAGCAGCATGGAGCAGTGGAAGCGTCTGTTGCCTGCAGGTTCGTGCTGAGACGAAGAAGCGCAAGGCTCCCGCACCTGTAATCCCTCGCGCGCTCCCCCTCCTTCAGCCGGGGTCGGCGGATATCTGATATGTGCTACGCAATACGATGCAGGTACCGGCAGCTCAAGAGTGTTCAACAAGACCTTCAGCGGGAGTACTTTCTTTTTCGCCTGCACGGACTCAAACTTACCATTCTAGAATTTCGATGCCACACTTCGAGCGCACCATACTTTGAGGTGTAAGCTGTCAGCTCGAGAAGTCCAAGAATACTCGTGAGGCAGCCATTGAGGAAAAGGAGGCGTGCAGCAAATTGTACTCTTATATTGCCGCTTAATTTAATTTATCGTTAGTTATATCACATCATATCACTACATTGTGCTTTAGCACAGGAGCACAGGTTGCACGCTAATGCAGGCTGTGAAAGAGCAAATGGAATCTGAGAAGAAGAATTTGGAGGATGGGTAGATTCATGTTGGTGTCGTTTGTTCTTTTTTGAATGACGAGTTGTGATGTCACTCCTTGGCTATTGTTTGTTGAAGGCAGCAGATCAAGCAAGGGCAAAAGCTCGCCTGGACACCCAACAGGCCAAGATGTCTCAAGCACTCGAAAGTGTAGACTGTCTCGTAGCATCGCTAGTGAAACATGCGAGTTCTTTGACTTCTTTCCTCAAGCCAGGTTGAAAAGCAGATAGTAGCAGTCAAGGCAAAGCTGGAGCCGAGGGCTGTGCAATCGCTTCCTTCCAACTTGCAAGCACATCAGCCATTTGATCTCGTTGTTAGATGTCTCTTTAAGGCGTCTTCACCCTGAGCGAGTCACTGTGAAAAGCCGGCTTGCATTTCTGGCAAACAGGCGAGATGAGACAAGAACCACCTTACAGACAGCAAAGATGCTTCAACAAAATCCCCAAGGGGTGTTTTTTGTATTCTTTTCCTTTCTATTTCCATACTAGATGCTTCTGACATTCCTGGTTCTGCTGAGTCCACGTTCCAAGACGTGGTGAAGTCTGGGCTTTGGGCTGTGCGATAGGCTGGAGGAGCTGTCTGATTCTGCAGAGAAGGATGGCCAAAGGCAGGGATTGTACTCCGAGTCCATTGTTGTCCTTGTGAAGGAGCAATCAACGTAGGGACTTATGTATCATGCTTCGCACTTCGCAGGCGCAGCAAGTTGCAAGAGCAGCTTAGAGCCATTAGTACTCATCTTAGCTTTTTGATGCTTTTTGAATAGTTCTTGTTTTTTTGTCACAACCTTTCAATCCGCCGCATTCAGCTTAAAGGAGAGGAAGAAGCGAAGCTAGAGTCTCAACAAGAAGAATTGAAGAAAGGGTTGGCAGATCGAGCACTCGTCTTCACTCCAGACCAGCTGGAGGAGCACCTTAAAGCAGAGAGTCCAGAGTCTTGCGAGCACTCATGTGCACCTATGAGTATTTGCATGAGCACTCATGAGGTCTTGTCCTCAATTCCTTCCTCGCTCGCCAGGAGTTTGACCGTGTGAAGCGCGAAACTGAAAAAGCAACCGCTGCGAGTGGGGACGCTTTGCGCCAGCTTGAACACCAACTGAAGGTTGTCCGCAGGATGCTTAGAATGAAAGCACCTAAGTCAATGACCCGGCAGCCGTGCTGTAAGTGATGTAGTAAGTGCGTACTGTAACCTAAGTATTGAATCCATAAAAGTACATTACAAGTACGAGTAGTAGAGTTTGGCCTGACAAGCCGTTGATCCACAGAAGCAAGGCCGAAGCCTGTCAACCGGGGCTGAACCATTGATGGCGTTTACGAAAGGTTAGAACACAACAAATTAGATTTTGCCAGGATCACACATGCTGCACAGAACCAGGATTTGTTCAGATCAGCAACCCTACGGTGAATTTATTCAGAGGCCAAAGTGCTCCTCAAAGACCAATGCTAATGCCTGTGAAACAAGCTAGTTTCTTCTGGTGAACACGTGTGCAAACTGTAGTGACTGGTGGCTGGCGGCTGACGTAGTGCTTGTTTGTTAGTCCGAGGTCACAGTCATGTTGAGCCCAAGGTCTCTTGCAAGCATTCTACATGCCAGACTTGACACAAGTGGCACTGGATACAAGCAACATACAAGCCTTCCTGCGTGCTCAACACAAACACGAAATGATAATAAATAATAAATCGGTTGTAAACGGCAGTGGATTCAATAAGTAAAATGCCCAGGCCTGGCCGTCCACATGCTGTTCACAGATGTTTGCACGTGGTTTAGGCCAAGAACGTGTGCAAGCAGAAGGTGACCAGCGAGATGCCACCGCACGGCAGAGCCATCTCAATCAGCGCTTGCAAGAGCTCAACGAGGTGGTGATGTGTTGGATGGTTTTTGCTCGGTGATGTGTCAATGTCTTCACGTCTTTACATGTTTCACTTCATGGCAACATGCCATAGTTACAGCTACACAGTCAATAGGTAAACACTATATTATATAACATACAGCCATACAGCAACTCCAACAACCAGATAAAAGGTTGCGTATTGCCGTGAGTACGCAGACTTGGCAGCATTGTCCTTTGCCATGATAGCTTTGTTTGCGTGACCAGGCTTGAGTTGTGTCTAACATGAGCCTCCTCCAACTTGTTTGGGTTCTCTTCTGTAATGGAGGGATTATTTATCCATCTATCTATCTATCTATCTACCTATATACCGTACCTATCTACCTACCTACCTACCTACCTACCTACCTATCCTGTCTATCCATCTATCTATCTACCTACCCACCTATCTATCTTTCTTTCTATGTTGCCGACGGGCTCAGCTCTCACACACACACACACACTTCAGAGACGTGAATATACGTGTATACATATATTATATACAGTATATATATATCATATATATGTATTATGTATATATATATACATATATTATGTGTATATATATATATATCAGCAGAACCGTGCGAGTAAAAACACGATGCAATTCATTCGGCAAATAATGAGAGGGAAAGAGACGAGAGAGGAGAAAACAAGTAGCTTCGAAGTCGGGGCACTTCAATTCATGTTGCGTTTTCCGACAAACTTGGTGAGGCCGAGACTGCAGCCTGTGCTGCTATGGAGAGCAGTGCGGCCTTGATGGACCAGCGTTCACAACAGCTGGTGCAGATGCACGAGTCACTGAAGAGCCGAAGTGGTGAGAAAGAGGAATTGCAGAAGGAACGGAACTCCCTTCTCGATTTCATCCAAGACTTCACTGCTACAGAGCAGCAGCTAGAAAGAGAGCGCGAACTTGGTCAGATTTGCGCAAGTTTGGCGGAAGCTTGCCCTGGTGTCTTTGGCCGGGTGGTTGACCTTTGTAAGCCCTCACAGAAACGCTTGCACGTGGCCGTGAATGTGGCAATGGCAAAGTTCCTTGATGCGATCATCGTGGAATCAAGTGAAGCAGCTCGGGCCTGTGTGCGCTACCTCAAGGAGAGAATGTTGCCTCCGATGACCTTCTTACCAATGGCAGATCTGCGAGTTACAGATCTTGACCCGCGACTACAGAATCTGGTCCAAAGCCAACGAGGACTGCAAAAGACGTCACAATTGAATCGATGAATCGATTGATCAATCAGAAATAGACTTTTTTATCCTTTTTTTTTAAATGAGATATTGGAAAACCTACAGTACTCAGGTAGGACTTCGTCAAGACCTGCTGTTGACCTGCAGGACTTCGTTTGGGCCTCAATTGTGTCTCCTTCGACGAGAAGTACTCGAGGGCCTTCAATTTCGTCCTTGGAGATGTTGTTGTGGTCCGTGTCTCAATTGATTTGGACACTTTCACTACCTGAAACGTCCGACGATTTTGACAATCCAGATCCAGAGGATACATTAAGGTTTTCAGGATATGATACACGTGCAGAGGCAGACACGATGGCGGATGGGCGGCGCCTGGCCTTTGGAGATTCTCGCAAGCTGGGAGTCACCTGCAAGGTGTGAGAAAGAAATTAATAAATCAATATAGATCAACAATTCTTGGGGTTTCGGAATTCAATGTCAAGTACTGACAACCTTGTTGGGAAGGTGGTGACACTCGCCGGAGAGGCAATCGCAAAGAATGGCAACTTATCGGCGGGACTCTTGGACAAGAAGAGCAGAGACGCAGAGATAGTAGAAGATTCGATAATGAGTGCATGTTGTGTTCAAGACTTGAATAGATTTGCAGGATGCGTATGCCATTTGAGGCAGCACTAAACTGAACGTGCCGTTTCAAGGTCAATTCTGAAGCTACTCAAGCAGGGGCAACCCGCTTTGACGTCTCCGAGCTGGAGGCAGCGGCAACCCATGTTGAAATTGGCCTTGTGAGACCTTGTGAGTCTACTTAGTAGCTAGAAGAAGTTACTAGGTTGGAGGCCATCGCTACTAGTAGCGATGCCCTTGTTACTAGTAGCGATTGAGTTTTTGTTTCGCCCAAGCTGTTCTTACATGTTGCTCCACAAGATTGGTCTGCGCTTCAGGCAACGAAGGCTCGTATGGAGAGCATTGACCGGCGAATGCATCAGACAGGGCCTTACCAAGTCAAATTTCATTTGACTTGTGGTTGCTAGCAGTAGCGTTGGACGCGGTGGCAGAGTTGGCCCTTGTTCATGCTTGTTCTTGTCGCTTGTGCTACTCTACTCTAAGCACAGACTGTGGCCCCCCCTTTGCGCTGCCATCTCCCTTTCACACAACGTTGCATAGGGTTTGAACTTTGGTCAAGTTGTCTTCACATGTCGTGGCGAAAGCTATAGCATACGTATAACGAACATGTATTAGGGACCGCCCCCCCCTGGTCTGGTCCCTTCGGTCCGGGAGCGTAGGAGATTTTTCGGTCGGTTTCGATCCGTGAAGTTCAAGGTCCGAAGGTCCTAGATCATGCATGGCAATTTCCTTAAACATGCATGCAGTGCTTTTGGTAAAGGGTTTGGAACGGCCATCGCACACACTTGCTATTGAAGCCTCACTGGCTGCTGTCACACTCCGGACACACCACTCCCAACTTACTACCTTTCATCTCCAACTGTCAACCTTTCCACGGGTTGCTTTGTCTTGTTGAGTACCCAGTGAACTGTATGCAAATAACGCCATCGAGTTGGAGAATCTCATGCAATGGTCTAAGTGTACACTTGATCAGAATCAGAGCCAAGACCGGTACGACAATGAAGAGCCATAGATTTAAGCCCACCAACTAAGTTGAGAAGTGTACGAAGCAAAAAACAAATCCATTGCAGCAGGTGGCCCCGAAAGTGGACAAAATAGGAGCAAGGACGCTACTAGGGGCTCCTGGCATCGCTATTATGAGAAGATGGGCCATCAGCTTTGCATGTTATCTCCAAGGATTCACTCACAGGAATCTGCTGGAGGAGCTGATGTGGTGCTTTCCCAAGTCCAACTGTTGAAAGCAAGCGATGAATTCATAGCCGCCATAGCCCCTGTGCGAGGCAGCTTTGGAGCTCGACATGAGGCGGGTTGAAGGAAAAGCACAGGAAGCTGCGATGCGCCTGCAGCAGTGCCAAGAAGAGCCAAGAGCTCAAACAAGTGAGTCAGCCACAGCAAGACATGTCTTATTTGATGCCGTCGACTCACTCGACTAAGTTAGTTGAAGGGAAAGCGCCTTCTGAGGCTGCGACAAAAACGTGCAGAGCTGCAGTCTGTTGAGGCTACAGTGGCAGCCGTGCAACCAGAAGCGCAACGCTTGGCCTTGGAAGAGGCACAGTGAAAGCAACGGCCCAAAATAACTGAAGCCTCGAAGATGAGCATCAACGATGCCAACTTTTGCAGTCCAGACTCCATGTCTGCAAGGCTCGTTTGCGAGAGGAACAGCGCTCCATTGAGGTGGGCTCCAGAAAGTGGCCAGTGACTGCTAGTGCGTCCAAAAGCAAGTTTAAGCAGCTCCGAAATGCATCAAAATGCACTTGCTTTAGATCGCTTTAGTCTGGTACACAAGCTTGATATTTTACGATGTATTTTGATTTCTATTAGCTTCCTGCATAAACTTTCCTTCATACAACTTGACAATTAAATTAGATGTTGAATGGGTTTTGGAGGCCAGAGTCAGCGAAGCAGTGGTGGACTTCTCGGATAGTTATATAGTTGCAACGTTCCACAGTCGATGTGTTTAGGCTGCACCTGTAAAGGTCGTAAGCATACCTCTAAGGCTGGACACTTTGCCCATTTGAGTGCTGCAATGGGTGTTGATGATGTCAGAAAGATGGAGCGCCGCTTGTCTCAACCCTGCTTTCGCGCTGGGTTTCAAGATGATTGAAGACGGAAGAAGGAACTTCTAGGCGAAGAACAAAACATCTACATGCCTTAAAGGATGCCTTACTATTAGTTCTTCTCTTACTGTCTTGGATGCAAGGTGAGTTCCGTCGAGAGAAAGAAGCAGTGGATCAGCAAACCGCTCAGCTCGCCAGAAGGCTTCGAAATGTCAAGGTGGGGAATTTTAGGGGCCGTACAGGTAGTAGCTAGGTAGCTAGTAGAAGCTAGGTCCGGTAGTTAGTACCTACAAGTAAGCTACTATATGGACGCAGGATAGCTCACGCTTCCTTGAAGAAGCGCTCGCACTAATGATTTGGTTTCTAGATGTTTCTAGATTTTTAGGGAAACTTAAGCACTTTGAATCATTTTTAATCGCGCTGGCAGATCCAACAGAGCTTTTGCCAGGCTGAGATCTCCATGCTGGAACAGACCCTCGAAGAGCGAAGGACCAAAGACCCTAAAGAGCTGGAAGCAAAGTTCTCTGAAGAGGCAGTGTTTCCTTCGTTTCAGACTGTTTTTAATTCTTGAAACATAGAGGCGTGCTTCTTTTGGTGTCCAGGCCGCTGAGCTCCGCACCAAGGACTTGCTTGTCCTTTCCAACGAAAATAAACGAACCAACAAACATACATACACATTATCATGATGTAGACGAGCAAGCAGCAATGATGCTGAGTTTGCTCAAATTCAATCAAATTCAAAACTCTCAGGAGACCAAGTTGGCACGTGAGGCAAAGTCCTTGGAGAAGAAGGTCCGATTCCATCCAATTCCGTCCTTACTGAGAGCGTCATACCTTGGACCCAGTCAGAGATGCCAAATTTTGTCGAAACAGCACACTGTGCTGCCTCCGTACCGATGTCCAGATGTGTCCAGTATGATTGAAAGGTTGGCCTTCGAATGCCTTCCATGTCCGGTATCTGCTTGTCACAGAAATGGTCGGTTTAGAATTCAGTGGGGACAACCGGCCTCACACTTGTGAGATCTCTCTCTCTCTCTCGCTTGTTGTTGAGTATGTCAATGGACCCCGCTGGTTCGGGTCATGTGCTCTTTCCCACATTGTGGTTTGCCGATGCCTGCAGGTCTCGGAACAGGAGCAGCAACTTTCTAGGAGTCACGAAGCCGAGCGGGATAACGACAAGGCTTCGAAAACCGCAACACATCGGATACGTAGATGAAACATGATGAAACTTGTGTTAAATTGGCTCGATTGCAACGAATCAGTGAAGCATGGTGGATTGGTGCGCAGGTTTTGTCAGCTCTCCGTCAGCAGCAAAAAGAGAGACGGCAGCAACTCATGGCAGCGGAGAAGAAGGAGACGCTGAAACACCGTCGTTTGACGTCGGCCACGACATTTGAAGACTGAAACAAGTTTGTCTTGAGCTTTCGGGCGTGGCACGTTTGCACGCAGGTGAGTGACTTGGGGTCTGAACAGCAGGCGGGGCAGAATAGGTTTGCTGTGACCCTTTTAAAGCATGTTTTAACTGCACTAAATTTGCTGTTTTGGCGGGAGGCTTTGTTGAGCAACCAATCAACCATTTTGCGGCAAAGCTTATTGGAGGGCATTGAGGCACTGGCCGCGTGTGCAACACTGCAGTTTAGACAGTTGAGTGTGCTGAGCAATGGGGCTCCATACGTGTCACTAGGTGTTGCGTGGGTGTCCCTTTCCCACCAAATTCCAGACTGCCAAAGGGCTGAATTTCTATATACTGGGACAAAGCCTATTGGAGGAGGACATTAAGGCACCGGCCACATGGGAACACTGCGGTTTTTACACCCGAGCATCCTGGCAATGTGCTTCCATACATCCGACGACTGGGTCAGGTTATGAAAGCCTGCCGTTAGGCCAGTTGTTCAGGTAAACGAATAAAGGCTAAGACATGGTAAGACATGTGACCTTGATTTTAGTTTAAATGCTGGTTCATTGTGGGTGTGGAGGGGAGTTGAATGATGCTGGTGTTGCAAGCTATAATACAGCTATATAGACAGATTGCATTTCTATCGTCATTGAATGCATATTGTGTTGTAGCGAATCTGTCTAAACACTCGGCTTCCGTCCATGCTCTGATACTCTAGCTGCTCTGGCCTCCAGCCTTTCTAAAGCGGCTGGGTTTTGGACTAGAGGCTACTGACTGAGACGATATGAAGACTAAAAACCGACTTAACTAGACCGCAGCTCAATCAAATCTACGGAACTGCACAAAGAGTACCACGTGATGTGGCTTGCATTGTGTCGAGGTGCCGCTGCTCCGTGGCGGACCGGAGGCACTGCAAGAGCTTGCGGAGGCCAGGCCACATGGAGCCGCTATTATTTGACATCATTTCTAGCATCTCCAACATTGGATGCAAGCTGGAGACAAATGGAATATTGTTGGAAGACATTCTTGATCATTCTTGGCGTGATGGTGAGGAAACGCAGCCTGCTTCGGCGCCAACACAACGCTCGCCTGTTGATACCAGCAGTATTCTGGTGGATTTCTCTTTGTTGGCGGAGGAGCGAGGATCAAAGCTTGAATTCCCTAGTGAGAGAACTCTCGATGCGTTCAAGCTTTAGAGTTTGGGGAGAGGGCTCTTGGGTTTGCAACCTGGCTGAACAGCCTCCTGCTACTCAAAGCTCCTGGGAAGGAGAAACAAGCTGCTTCCCATGGTGCTGCAGCGCAAATGCTGGAGGCTTTCTTCTAACACACCACTGATGCCGCAAGGACACAATTAAACATGCACACACACAGGCCGTATATATATATATATATAGTTGCGATTAGAATCCGTATGGTCTTTTGCAGATGCCAGAACTCAATCAGCCAAGCTTCAAAATAAAACAGCATAGACCCAGATAGCGGCAGCATCCCACGACCTGTTGACATGCGACTGGCTGGAACAAGAATGTACACAGCCTGCACGCACAGCCAGCTTACGGCGCTTCCACAGCGCGCGCAACCAGCTGACACCAGCACTGGTGCGCTTTGCCAGCTGACAACACCGGCGGCGGCACCAGCAAACGCGCGCTCAGCCACCAGCACCCAGGACCACAACACCAGCACCAGCACCGACACCCCTTCGAAAGCGCGCGCCCAGCTCATTCTTATTTGCAGTGGGAAGCTATCCCTAGTGTGATCTTGCGCGTATAAGTTTATGCGCACAAAAGTATGCGCGCAAACAGTACAGCCCTTGACACAGCCGTCCGCCAAAACAGAACCTGAAGAGCGTAAATACACCACAGCGCTCACAGACAAAGAGCGCTCAAGCGACAACACCGTATGATATTGCGTGCATAAGTTCATGCGGCCCATGACTGCTGGCACTTTACTGTCAGAAGCGGCGGTTGGTCGGTGGCGCCCAGCACCCGGCACCCTGTCTCCACCACGTGCACAGCCAGCGCCCAGCACCAGCACCCAGTCTCCACCACGCGCACGGCGCCCCCCCACCACGCGCGCACAGCCAGCTCACACACCGCCAGCGCCACAGCCGCACACCCATGCAGTTCACAACACCAGCACCAGCGCCGGCCCGGCGCCCTGTCTCCCACGCCCAGCACCAGCACCGGCACAGCCAGCTCACAGCACCCAGCACCAGCACCGGCACCTAGCACCCAGCACCGCACCCAGCACCGGCACCCTGTCTCCACCACGTGCATAGCACCAGCGCCAGCGCCAGGCACCCGGCACCCAGCACCAGCGCCGGCACCAGCAACCTGTCTACCAGCACCGGCACCAGCGCACAGCCAGCGCACGGCGCCCTGCGCCAGCACCCGGCACCGGCACCGGCGCCAGAACCCGCGCCAGCACCGGCACCCGGCGCCAAGCTACCAGCGCCAGCAACCTGTCTCCACCACGTCCACAGCCAGCTGGCACCCGGCAGCACGGGCGCCCGGCAGCACCGGCACCAGCAACCTGTCTCCACCACGTGGCACAGCCAGCTCACAGCCCCAGCACCGGTACCCAGCACCCAGCACCAGCACCCTGTCTCCACCACACGCACAACCAGCTCACAGCACCAGCGCCAGCACCCGGCACCACCAACCTGTCTCCACCACGTGCGCAACCAGCTCACAACACCACCACCAGCGCCAGCGCCGGTACCAGCAAGCTCACAGCACCATCACCGGCACCCGGCACCAGCACCAGGCACCAGCACCGGCACCAGCGCCCAGCACCAGCGCCGGCGCCAGCAACCTGTCTCCACCACGTGCGCCGGCGCCCAGCACCCAGCACCAGCACCCGGCACCAGCACCAGCATGTCTCCACCACGTGCACAGCCAGCTGCACCCGGCACCCAGCACGAGCACCAACACCAGCAACCTGTCCCGACCACGTGTGCAGCCAGCTCACAGCACCAGCACCAGCACCAGCACCGGTACCAGCAAGCTCACAGCACCAGCACCGGCACCCGGCACCAGCACCAGCACCGGCGCCAGCCAGCACCTGCACGGCCCGGCACCCAGCACCAGCACCAGGCACCAGCACCGGCACCAGCACCCAGCACCAGCGCCGGCACCAGCAACCTCACCACGTGCACCGGCACCCAGCACCCAGCACCAGCATGTCTCCACCACGTGCACAGCCAGCTCACAGCACCGGCACCCGGCACCCAGCACCGGCACCGGCACCAGCAACCTGTCTCCACCACATGCACAGCCAGCTCACAGCACCAGCACCAGCACCGGCACCCAGCACCAGCACCAGCAACCTGTCTCTGTCTCGATATCGCGCACGGACAATTCATTGTTAATTTGAAGTATGAACCCCATAGCTTCGCTATCTGGGGAAAAACAAATCAAGGAGGCTGAGAACAGCCAAGCCTTTGCCACACAGGCGGAATACAAAGCAGAGTTGGAGCGGCTGCGAGCGGAGCTTGAGCGTCTCAGCCCGAACCTCAAAGCCGTCGACCAGCTACAAGGTGTGGCCGAAAACCTTCAGGCGGGATGGGGTAATGAATGATAGAATCGATGCAAACATGTTGTATGTATCTGTTTGCATGCTACAATTGCTTTGGTTTCCTCAGCAGAAACATGGCTTTAGGCAGGCTTTGCTGGCTTTGCCTATTTTTATTTTTCTTTACCTTCCTATATATATATATATATTATAGAAGGGCCTTGATTAGGCTTGATTTGACGTTGGAATGAAAAAGGATGTTCTCAAGGCTGCTTCCCATGAAGCTGATGCTGCTCGCAAAAGCATCGAAGAAATTGAGGGCAAATTCGAGACTGTCCGAAAGGCTCGGAAGGACTGACTCCACTTTGCTTCAGCAGGTTTTTCGAGAAAGGAAAAATGATGAAAAAGGATACATCATATCTGGAAGAACAAAACAGAAGAAAAAGGAAGGTGTTTGTGACTTGGTACCAGGAGAAATTCATTGAGTGCTTTCAGAAGGTCTCGGCAGCCATTGGACCTGTGTACCGACGTCTCACTGCTCAGAATGGCGCAGATGGTGGCTCTGCATACCTTGATTTGGAGGCGTTTCTGAGGGTCTTGCATCGGAGACATAACGAGATGGACACTTTCCGTCCGAGAAAGTTCCCTGACTTAACGCCCTTCATTCATTGATTCATTAGCAAGGGATAGTTAACAAAGCGTTCTTGCAAGTAGCAGAAAGGGCTTGACTTAGTCAATGTGCAACATGAGTAATGTGAGCAGGATGCAGAAGATCCCTTCAATGGAGGAATTAAGGCGCTCCTTAAACACAGCTGAAATATCTTACTTTTGAGTCCAAAGTACACCTGAATGCAGTGAAAGTCACAGCGATTTGCTTGACCAGTTCACAGCTATGCCTCCAGCGAAGCGCTTCCGTGACATGCACCTTCTGTCTGGGGGTGAGTTTGAGACTTACAGTATGCTTCGTTGTGCTTCTAAAGTAGAGCCGTGCATGACATTGTACCTTGCCCTCCGGGCATAAGATCTTGTCCGCTTACTAGGAACAAGAGGACGCTACTAGTAACAAAAGGCATCGCTACTAGGAGCAAGGACGCTACTAGGGGCGCTCCTGGCCTTACTAGGAACAAGAAGCTCGTGATACTTGTTTGTGAAACGGTCCAAAGGTCAATTTCCTGCAAAACCCAGAAACCGTTGTGCAAGTAACGTAAGCTGTTGATAGCTTGATTAGTGAATTTGCTACTTCTTGCTTGACTTACTTCGCTACAACTTTCCCGGAAAACAAGTCTTTGTTTGACAACACGCTTTGATCGAGGAAGACCTTGGCGGCCATGGCGTTGCTCTTTGCTGTCCAAGCCTTTCAGCAGCCACCCTTTATGGTTTTGGATGAGGCCCTTTATGGTCCGCGGGTTGGTAAGGAAGGTTCAGGTGTCCGTAAGGCACCACCGGCCACCGCCGACCGCTAGATTAGGCCCCTAGTCTCCGAAAGTATCGCTGATCAACATGGGGAACTGCAAGCAATGCGTTTCGCCACAGATTCTGGTCCTGTGCTTTCTTTTGTTTTGATATGGGGATTGAATCAGGTTGATGCGGCGCTTGATGCCAACAATGTTCGAACGTTGTCAAAGTATGTGGAGCAGGCCAAGAGACATTTCGAGCTTTTGGACACAGATGTGTTGAAAGGGAAAACTGTGAATTGAAAGGCTGGATGCCAGACCATTGTGATTTCCCTAAAGGCCCATTGCTCGCCAGTGCGCAATGACGATCTGATATACGACAAGTTAATGTCATTTGAGATGCATGATTGCTCTTGGAGGATCGTTTCTTCATTCGAGCCGAAGCACTTGTCGGGGTGTGGAAGAACAAGCTGCAGGTCCGGAGTTATTTATTCTAATTCAATGTTTGCAAAGGTCGGGTTGAAAGAAATTGAAGTGACCTATTCTCAGAAGTGACTTGCACCCTTGACCCTTGACGTCTCAGGAGACTTCCGCAATCCTGACATTGGATCTGACGAGGTACATTGAGCACAATGCTCAGTTTGATGCCAAAAGGGCTTGGACTGAACTACCCCTTACGACGGATTTGAACTTGTTCGCTGCACCTCAAGCGCCACTCAGGTCGGCCTGATGAAGCACACACACCATGGTATACGATCCATTCACATCATATCTCAATTCAATGATGGTGTGAGCTGTCATGCTGGAACTGTGGAAGCTGCCGGTTTTAGAATGTTTTCGAATATAGTTGAGAGATGTTGAGAGGTTGGTTTCAGACTTGCAAGAACATAGAGCTGTCTCTTCTCAGCTTGCAACGTGTGGAGAGCTCCTGTAAAGTTCCATTATGTTCCAGTCCTCTATTCAGTGCACGCTTAGCCAAATATGCAGGGAGAGACAGTGCCTCTTCAGCCAGTTGACAAATTGTTAGTGTATTGAGATGTTGCTTTACAAATCCTTGCCATCCTTGCCTGACCTAGAGGTGCTGTCCGCAAGTCATATGCCAGATTTTGCATCCGACCTATGTTGAAAGCTGCAGCCGGGAACATATGAGGTTATCATGAATCAGGGAAGATATTGCAGTTGATTTGTATGCTGGTAAGAATGCACAAACGATCCTTCAAAGATCTTTGGAGCTGGATGCTTGGACGGGTGGCTAAGTGCACTTTGCTGCAGCCTGCAAGTGAGATTGCGAGCAATCACCGATTTGTTGATTGTGGATCGTTGGATTCCTGCTGATCCACGGTTTCCAGTCACTTTATTTAGATGGAGATCTTGTCTTTGAGATCGTACAGCAGAACAACAAACGTGCTGCTTGTGATAGCAAGGCAATAGTCCCGTAAGTTTGCAACCACTCACTCCAGCTTCATACCAAGACCTTAACATTGCGGCAGCTTCTCTTTTGCTCTGTACCTGATAGCGTGCAAGACGTCATAAACATGAGTATGATCCGACTTCCCTGCAAGAGAGTTCAGGTACCGTAACACTTTCATGAGGCCTGCGAAGGTAAAAGGGCCATTGCTTCCAGTTCAGAGAATGGACGTTACCACACTTATCACACTTCTACCTTCAGCGCTTGTGAACTCATTAGCTACACCTCCATTGCCCCCCACACATGCTGGCTCATCGCCATCATCGGCCTCATGCCCTTGCCTGGGTCTTGGGTGATTCAATGAATGACCTGTCCAGCTAGAGTAGAGGTGTGGATTGGCTTGGCGCATGTTGGTTCGCATGTTGCTTGCCTACTTTTCACATGTATGATCTGACAGAACTTCGCAGAATTCCGCAGCTGGCCTTGGTTGAAGAATGATCCCAGACTTGTTGGCCTCACTGCACAGTCCCCACTGACAGACGGGAGGACCTGAATGCTTTGTGCTACAGTCCAGAGATCTCCAGAGGTATTTATGCCACGAAACAACTCAGAGTTCGACTCACAGCAGCAAATTGACATACAGACAGATAGACTCGACCAGCATGCAAGACACACTGTGATCCAAGATGTTCCAAGCAAGCATCTTAAAAGAAAGGCCAGGACGGACTGGGCCATGGACTGCTGACGCACGACTGGGTGGCAATGCACTTCTCAGTCCTGGACAGTGAAGAGTCCAAGAACATCGCCGTGGTCCACAAGACAAATCAGGGTGACTTGGACGCCTTTTGGGCGTGGAGGTCATCACTATTAGGTTGGATTCCATCGCTATTAGGTGGAGGCCATCACTATTATGTGGAGGCCATTGC